TTCATGCAGAACCCAACCCTGTGTCCCAGGTCCAAAAACGCACAGTTAATGCAGAACCCAACTCTGCGTCCCAGGTCCAGAGACGCACAGTTAATGCAGAACCCAACTCTGCGTCCCAGGTCCAGAGACGCACAGTTAATGCAGAACCCAACTCTGCGTCCCAGGTCCAGAGACGCACATTTCATGCAGAACCCAACCCTGTGTCCCAGGTCCAAAAACGCACAGTTAATGCAGAACCCAACTCTGCGTCCCAGGTCCAGAAACACACAGTTCATGCAGAACCCAACTCTGCGTCCCAGGTCCAAAACGCAGAGTTCATCTCTGCGCAGCGTGACCGGTGCGTTTTCAGCCTAAAACAGGCCCAACTCTGCGTTTCAGGTCCAGAAACGCACAGTTCGGGCCCAGAACGCTGTTTTCAGCGTTTGACTCGTTCAAGCACGATTTGAACGGTTCCAGAACCGTTTTCTCCCCACGATTTGAGGGGATCACTACCCTATCATGGAGAGATTTATAGGGGCAGTTACACCCTATTAAACCCTCATTAAGGAGAGATTTAAGGGGGCGGTTACACCCCTAAATCCCCTATAAATAGTGGGAAACCCAATTGAGTTGGGACTGGCTTTTGGGATCTTGGATCTGGGAATTTTGGAGATCAAAAGGTCCTATTTTAGAGATCAGCTGGACTTCTTCAGATCTTCTTGGAGCTTTGGAGATCAGCAACTTGAAGAAACTCTTGAGTCCTCTTGGAAGGCTTTTAGTGAAGCCTTTGAGATTATTCAGCTTGGCTTGGCTTGTGAACTCTTTCTAAGAGTTCTTCTCAACTCGATCAGAGTTCAAAACTTGCTATGTAAGTTCTTCTAAAACTCGCTCTGAGTTATTAACTCGTTAAGAGTTATTTTCAAAACTTGCTCTGCAAGTTCTTCTAAAACTCGCTCTGAGTTATTAACTCGTTAAGAGTTATTTTCAAACTTACCACGCAAGTTCTTCACAACGTCAAATCGTGAGGAGAAGATATCGTTCTAGTGAATCAAGACGTTCGGATCGTCAACGGAGAGCAAACTCGACGCGAGCATTCGAGGGAGGTACTTCATCGCTACCTTGAAGAACCCAGTTTTAAACAAATGGAAGAATCCAGATCATTCTCCTCTCTTTTGTAATCAGAAAATCCAATTGTAATTAAGATCGAGGGAATACAAATCAGCTTTTCTTTCAGTACTTTTATTACAAAATTTTCCACAAACAGGTGCCTTGCCTGTAGTTCGACTCTCCATACAGTTATAAGCAAACTCAGCATGTGCCAAAGCAAGATCCCACTGTTTTGGTCGATCTCCAGAGATGGACCTAAGAAGATTGCCGAGGGTGCGATTGACCACTTCAGTTTGGCCATCTGTTTGAGGGTGATAGACAGTACTAAACTTAAGAGAAGTATTGAATCGCTGCCACAAAGTTCTCCAAAAGTGAGATAAGAACTTAGAATCTCGATCGGATGTAATGGACTTCGGCACTCCATGAAGGCGAACTATCTCCCGAAAGAAAAGATTGGCAATGTTGCTCGCATCTGCAGTCTTCTTGCACGGAATAAAGTGCGTCATGTTCGAAAACCTGTCCACCACAACAAAAACAGAATCCATGCCTCGTTGGGTTCGAGGCAGTCCCAACACAAAGTCCATAGAGATATCATGCCATGGTGCATCAGGAACAGGTAAAGGTGCCGCGGCTATTACAAGGGGTGCTGCGGCGGTTACAAGACAGTTGTATGATAATTTTTTGAAGCCCACGTGGCAGCATATCAGAAATAGAACGTGTGCTGACGTGTACAAGCAGTTAAACAACGAAAAAAGTGGTTAAGGGTCGTGGGAGAACGGTTTCAAGCACGATGAAACATGCTGGTAACCGCCTCTTTGGCCGTGGCAGTCCACACTGCCGCGCCAATAGCCGCGACAGTGTCGACTGCAGCGGCCAAAGAACAGTCACCCGGTCGGTTATTTCGCCCCCGATTCAACTGTTGTGCACTCCTACCCCTATAAATACCTCCCTAGACACGAAATAAAGAGGAGAGAGCAGATTGGAGCAGAAAAGGCTTGAATTTTTAGTGATTTTGAGGAAGAGAGAGAGTCTTCATTCTTCGTAAACACTTTCAAGAAGCTTTTGGCGATTCCCAAAGATCTAAGCTCTGACTTGATCTTTAGAAGAGTGAACATCTTACATCGATAAGATATTTGCTTAAAGATTCTTACTTCGATAAACGAAGGAAGAATTTCCAAAACCTTCACGATTCAATCAGAATTTGTGAATTGGTGGTCCACGAGTCAAAGCACTCCCAGCACAGGCAAAGTCCCACAAAACAAGAATCGATAAACGATTTTTGTGTTATTTTCTCAAGAGTTGTAATTTTCATTTTTGTTGTGTAACAGACGTCTTATAAAAAGACTATCTCTTTCGAATTTGTTGTAATCGATCAAAGATATAATGAATTCCACAACGAGACCAACTTTTGACGAAAACACCTCCTGTGTCGATCAGCATCATTCTTATATTTAGCATTAGATTGTTCTATCTTCTCCTTTACTTCTTGTTGGATAGCCCGTATCTTTTTAACCATATGATCTGCAGGAACACTCTGTCCGGGAAGCTTAGGCAATGGAGCAAGGTCGAGATAATGATTCGGAAGCCTTCCATACACAATCACAAAGGGTGTTGTAGGCTATCTAAAGATCACTACAGATAGCTGATTCCCATCAAACATCGATGATGGAAGTTACAATTTGACGGCTTTCAGAAGACTATAATTTGAAGACTTTCACGTGGATCGATGAAGGTTACAATCTGATGACCTCCGCAACAACTGATGAAAGCTCTAATCAACAGCCTTCACAATCTACATCGGGAGTTACAATCTGACGACTCTCACATTTTCAAGGAGCCAAGACGAAGGTTACAAGATGACGATCTTTGCAACGCTCTAGCAAAAGAGACTACAAATCGACGGTCTCTTCAAACCAAGACGTGGAAGTCCTCCCCGCGGTTCTAGTGAATCAAGACGTTCGGATCGTCAACGGAGAGCAAACTCGACGCGAGCATTCGAGGGAGGTACTTCATCGCTACCTTGAAGAACCCAGTTTTAAACAAATGGAAGAATCCAGATCATTCTCCTCTCTTTTGTAATCAGAAAATCCAATTGTAATTAAGATCGAGGGAATACAAATCAGCTTTTCTTTCAGTACTTTTATTACAAATTTTTCCACAAACAGGTGCCTTGCCTGTAGTTCGACTCTCCATACAGTTATAAGCAAACTCAACATGTGCCAAAGCAAGATCCCACTGTTTTGGTCGATCTCCAGAGATGGACCTAAGAAGATTGCCGAGGGTGCGATTGACCACTTCAGTTTGGCCATCTGTTTGAGGGTGATAGACAGTACTAAACTTAAGAGAAGTATTGAATCGCTGCCACAAAGTTCTCCAAAAGTGAGATAAGAACTTAGAATCTCGATCGGATGTAATGGACTTCGGCACTCCATGAAGGCGAACTATCTCCCGAAAGAAAAGATTGGCAATGTTGCTCGCATCTGCAGTCTTCTTGCACGGAATAAAGTGCGTCATCTTCGAAAACCTGTCCACCACAACAAAAACAGAATCCATGCCTCGTTGGGTTCGAGGCAGTCCCAACACAAAGTCCATAGAGATATCATGCCATGGTGCATCAGGAACAGGTAAAGGTGTATACAATCTCGTATTCTGAGACTGTCCCTAACAACTTGACAAACTGGACAACGCCGCACATATTTTTCTGCTCCCTTCTTCAACTGATGCCAGTAATATCGTTCTTCAATGGCTGTAATTGTTTTATCACGTCCCAAATATCCTCCTAGTCCGCCAGCATGAAGGTCTCGAATTATCTGCTCTCTTAGGTCCTGTTACAATATACAATAATTGCCTGCAGGGCACCTATATCTAACATGAATATGAAAGCCTTTGACTGATTTATTTTGAAGACAGTCGTCCCAAATCTTCTTAAAATCTTCATCCTCTGCATACAGCTCCTTAAGGTACTCAAACTCAATCACTTCAGCCTTCAAAGTTACCAACAATCCAGCTCTCCTACTGAGTGCATCTGCAACCTTATTTTGTTGCCCGGATTTATGCTTCAAAACAAAGGTGAAACGCTACAGATATGCAATCCAACGAGCATGCATACGGTTGAATGTAGGTCTGACTATTAAGGGTCCTTCAAAGCCTGATGATCAGTGTGAGCCAGAAACTCTTCTCGGAGATCAAGATAGGCTCCCATGCTTCAAGACTGAACTATGGCATATAACTCCAGCTCATATGTGGTCCACTTCTGCCCGAGGCTTCGCTGAGTTTCTCACTGTTAAAGGCAACTGGACGTCCTTCTGGCAGATAAAACACCACCAATTACTATGATGGACGAATCCAATCAACTTCAAAGACTTTTTAAAAATCTGGAAAGTGCAAGCAGCAGGTGCAGGTGGACAAGCTTCTCTCCTGATCAGTGCAAAGCTACGATCTGCCTTCTCCCCCCCCCCAACTGAACTTCCTTTCCTTCATGCAGTTCAGTATAGGCTGCGTATAATGCTGCTGAAATTCTTAACAAATCTCCTATTAGAATGTTGCTAGGGCATGAAAACTACGAACTTCGCTGACAGCTTCGGCGTAGGCTAATCTCTAATAGCACGAACCTTCTCTATCTCAACATGAAATACCCTCTGCGACTAACAACAAAAGCATAGAAAACACGAGGTACTGGTCAGAAGTTCATACCTTCTTCAGATTGATGTACAACTTGTTCTCCGGCCAAGAACTGTTGTATACTCCCTCAATGGCTCCAGATGTGCAGCCTCACTCTGGCTATAAATCAGGATATCATCAAAGTAAACTACGACGAACTTGCCGATAAAGGATTTTAATACCTGATTCATCAATCGTATGAAAGTGCTAGGGGCATTAGAAAGACCAAAAGACATGACTAATCACTCGTACAGGCCTTCTTTTGTCTTGAAAGTAGCCTTCCACTCATCTCCTTCCCTAATCCGAATATGATGATAACCACTTTTGAGATCTATCTTTGAGAACAATTTTGATCCAGATAACATGTCTAGCATGTCTTCCAAGCGTGGGATAGGAAATCGATACTTCACAGTGATTTTGTTGATAGCCCTACTGTCCACACGCATGCGCCACTCTCCATTCTTCTTTGGGACTAGTAGTGCTGGTACGGTACACGGACTCATACTAGGCCATATAAGACCCTTCTGGATGAGATCATCCACCTGCTTCTGCAAAATCTCTCCTTCCTTCGGGTTCATCCGATAGTGTGGCAGATTTGGTAGTCGAGATCCAGGGGTGAAATCAATCTGATATTGCACGTCTCGAAGCATTGGTAATTCAGAGGATAGATTGTTAGGCATAACTGTATCAAACTGCTGCAAGAGGGTTTGAACTCCAGGTGGAATTTCGGCTGTGGTAGAATCCTCCTTTCCCGACAAAACAAGAGCATAAACCTCGTTGGACTGCTTCACTTCTTTCATAAAATCTTCATTGTCAACGACCAACAAAGTCTTCTTTTCAGCCACATTGGTATTGACAGGCCCCTTCTCAGTTAGAGGCTTGAGCATAATTCGTCGACCATCCTTCTTAAATATATAAATATTATCCTTTCCCCGATGTGTGGCATCAACATCAAACTGCCATGGCCTGCCTAATAAGATATGACATGCGTCCATCTCAATTACATCACATAACGCCTCATCGATATAAGTTCGGCCAATGAAAAAAGATACCCGACACACTTCATCAACTTGTACGTCGCTACCCTTTCGAATCCAACCAATCTTGTAAGGGGCGGGATGCTTCTCTGTCTTTAATCCTAACTTCACCATGCGTCGAGAGACAATATTCTCGCTGCTCCCACTATCAATGATGACATCACAGATCTTTTGTTTCACAGTGCATCTCGTGCGGAAGATGTTATGCCTCTGCGGGGGATCTTCTGTCTTTGGGGCCAATAATAGACGCCGCACAACACATGAGAGTTGTTCCCCATCATCATCAGGATCCAATCCATCATCGTAGTCTTCAGCTTCGTCACGGTCTATAACTTCATCTTTACGATCCACTATGTTCACAACACCTCTTTTAGGGCACTGATTGGATCGATGACCAGGCTGTCCACATCTATAGCACTTGATTGGGCCAGGCTTGGCATATGGGTTCGGGGGTGTAGTCTTCTTTGTAGTTGTTGTCGTCGGACCCTTGCCCTTCTTCGTTGTAGTATCTTGATCAGAAACTGTTTGGGACTGTTTACCATGATTAAAGCTTGTGCGCGACCCGTCGGAAGCTGCCCATGAACCTTTACTATTTCGTCCGAGTTGTCGCTCCACCTTCTCGGCTAGGCTAACCGTATCTGCTAAGGTATAGGTCTGCTGTAGAGATACACGATCCTGAATCGCCATCTTCAACCCCCCTGTATATCGAGACATCTGTTGGGCCTCGCTCTCGTGTAAGTTGTTGCGGGATGATAGTCGATAGAATTCCTGTGTGTACTCATCCACGGTTCTTCCTCCCTGCTTACAATTCTGGTACTGCCCGAATAAAAACTGTTCATAATCGTTTGGCAAGAAACGGGCTCTCAATAGCTTCTTCATCTTTTCCCACCTATCGACCTTCGGCTTTCCTTGACGAGATCGATTCATACAAACAGATTCCCACCAAGCTGAAGCTCCACCTTTGAGTCGGTAAGCCACTAATTTTACCTTTCGTTCTTCTGGGATCTCCATATACTCAAAGAATCTCTCTACTTTGTCGTCCGTCTCGGCGATAAAAACCACGGCGTGGGGGTGCATAGGGATCTTCCTCACTGTCGGATTCATCATATGGAGTCAGATCACGTCGTTGGCGACCATCAACGCGATTTTGAACTCCCATCGGGTTCAGACGCTCCACTGCCATCGTAAGTCGCTCTATGGCAGCCCTCATCTGATCACCATTGGTCTTTAGTTGCTCTACGTCGGACCTCAGCATGTCGAACTCAGTTCGAGGAATAGGGACTTCATCACCTGCCATCGGATCGGAGGAACAAGGCTCTGATACCAATTGACGCAGCGCGGAAGTAATAGCCTCGGAATCCACTAAGAAAAACCTTTGAATCCACGAAGAGCTTCGAATCCACGAAGTAAATATTGAAGAAAAACAAAATTTTATTAATCAAAAGTTATGCCTCTAGGGCTTACAAGACTCTTCTTAAATAGAAAAAGAAACAATACTCCTACAAGGACTCTAATTCCTACAAGGACTCTTAACTTACCAAAAATGGTAAAGAATTCCTAAAACATTAAAACTCCTAAAAAGACTCCTTATGATTAGGAAAGTCCACCGGTCAAATTTGAGATCAAATCGGATTTATTTACTAAACAAAACAGACTCCTAAAATATAACTAAAAATAGTAAAAAACAGACAAAAATATAAATATCTCTCAAACCGTAAGGAATTTGGCGAAACTGAGAATGCAAACCGAACCCAAAAGCGTAGGTTTGGATGGCTCCGTCTCGTCGAGATAGTCGATTTTCATATATAATTCGTCCAATTCCGACGTATGCTTTGAAAGTTACGGCCGTTTCTTCGAAACAAGTTATTTTCTTCGACCAGGTCCGTATTTGGGCTTGCGACTGTCCCACTTTGACATAAACGTGTCTGCTGTGTGTTCTACATCAATTTGGTCCGGATACAGCTCAGATATGATGCTTACCATATCCATATTCGCTTACCAATCTCGGATACGGATACTGATGTGGATATACCTCGGTAATAAAATTCATATTCATATCCGCTAAAATCGGATACGGTTATGGATATACAAGCGGATACAAAATGGATATAAGAATTCTAGATAGTATTGAGAAAAATATAGTTTATGTGATACAAAAGAGTTCGTTAATATGTTCATTATAACTGAAAAGTTAAGATTAGACATCGTGATCATCAAAATTAACCAAAATCCATAATCTAATAATTGAAACTATCGTAAGAGTATGACTAATATATATTCTGATATTTCGGATATGTATACATATATTTCAATATAAAACCATATCCGTAACTATATGTTACCGGTTATAGATTTGAGTAAACATAGCCGTGTTTTAACGGATACGGTGTAGCACCCCTAGTTGGTATGCTGTCTTCGGGGTTGCATATGCCCATAAATGGAGGCGGATTAAGCTAACCTATTTTGTTCGAAATTGATTCAAAAGAACTAACCCTTATTTATTACAAGTCATGAATCCAAACGTTATTCAGTCATATGTTCACGTAGCTATTTTTTTTTATACGGAACTAAATCTCATCTAGTGTGTTTGCTAAACCACACCGACGCATTAAACTGAAAGGACGCAAGAAGTCTCCTAGCAGTGCAATACCTAATCAAAACATTTTCAGATTCAAGATGGAATTGAATTATAACTTTTAAAAGAACCTCAGCCATTTGCATAGCATAATTTGACGAAGGTTTATTCCATTATATGAACATAGGACACCTTACACAGCATGGGAAACAGAAAACAGAACTTCTTTCTTCCTCTCTCTCATCACTCCCTCACAAGTCACGCAATCACAGCTTGCTCCACCTGAACCCTCTCTTTCACCTCCTCAACTCCCCCCATAAACTCCGACATCCTCGTCGCCAAGCTCTTTTTAGCAGCGGGCGAAACACCATGTTCGCCGATAATGGACTCCAGTATCGCACGAGTCAGTGCTTTGTTCTCAATCACTGTGACTCCAGCTTCAGGAACCGATCCATCCTTTGAAAACGCAATCTTAAACAACAAGAGGAAAACATGAATTAAAAATTAAAGATAAGAAGGGCATTCTGGATATGAGCTGGCATCTCATTTTCTAAAAGTGTTAATTGCTCCTGTACTGTCGCCCAGTTGCGGATAGGCCCTTACAGTTCTATTGTTGCAGGTAGA